GCAGAGGCAGCGAAGGTGTTCGGTGGCTTCCAGGTGGTGCCGGCTCCAGACGGCCAGTTCGCCTTCCTCATCCCCAATGGGGCCTTCGCTCACAGTGGCCCCGTCATCCCAGTTTACACCAGCAACAGCGGGACCACCGTGGGACCCAATGCAGTGTCGCCTTCCAGCGGACCTTCGCTCACGGCCGACTCCATGTGGAGGCCCTGGCGGAACTGAGGGGCTCAGGCCACCCCTCCCCCCAAACTCAACCTCTCTCTCTTCTCTCGGGACACTAAACAGGAACTTGGATGCTGGGAAAGAAGAGAACTTTTGTGATTAAGTGGTTACTTTGTTTTTTTAATTTCTAAAAAGTTACTTTTTTTGTAGAGAGCTGTATTAAGTGACTGACCATGCACTATATTTGTATATATTTTATATGTTCATATTGGATTGCGCCTTTGTATTATAAAAGTTCAGATGACATTTCGTTTTTTACACGAGATTTCTTTTTTATGTGATGCCAAAGATGTTTGAAAATGCTCTTAAAATATCTTCCTTTTGGGAAGTTTATTTGAGAAAATATAATAAAAGAAAAAAGTGAAGACTTTTATGTCTTAGAACTGATTATTTCAGAATATGTAAAAAAATAAAGGCACTTGGCAGAATTTGAATTACTTGTAATTTGAGAATTCAGGAACCGGCTCTGTTGTTATTCAAAGAACATTTTTAAAAATCCATCAAACCTTTCACCATGAACTATATTCCATTTAATTTGCAAGAACCTATGCAATATGGCTTCTCTGGTCAATTTGTGATAAATTCCTTAAAGAATTTCAAACAGTTAGTTATAGTTGGGTAGGCCATTCAGGGTACCTGCTCCTTCTGAGAAAGGTTGAACAGGACTGAATTCATAAAGTTAATGGATCTAGTACCATTGCCCGGGTCACTTTAAGGGAGGCTCCTGCAGCCCTTCCCCCCTGGGGTAGCTTACCAACATTCAAAGTAAAAACACTCTTTTACCAGTGCAGCCTCCAACCTTCAAGTGTTGGAAGTCTTCCTTTAATTAGTCAGCCCTTAGGTTCAGCTAGACATTCCCTCGTACCAGCATCCAAAAGTTTGAAATGCCTCTCTGCACCCTCTTCAAGCAAGCTGAGAAGGTCAACAGATTCCTTCTGCCAAGGGACAGCTAGTTAGACTCCCATGTGGAGCCCAAGTCCAGATGATTAACACCAGACATATGTTTTTGATAAGTTTCTGTGCTTGGCTCTAATAGAGAAAGCATGTGGGGGCCGAGCTGGCAGGCACACAGGCCATCTTCCCCCTTTTAATACAAACAGCAAGCGACCCCTTCGCTTGGTCATGCCCCATTTCCAGGCAAGATGTGGGCTCCAGATAGGAGCAAAAGGCTTGTCTCGGGTTTCAGCTCACATAACCCTCCTTAACAAGTCCTAACTCAAAGCGGACAGCTTTAAACTGTGCCAGGATCTGCAGGGAATTTCTTCCAAATCCCATCACAAAGGCTTGTCAGATTTTGTCAGATTTGGCCAGGTGTTTGACTGCATCCAGGTGTTGGGGAAATGAAAACCACGAGCCCTACGAGACCAGACACATCAGCGGCGCTGTGGGTCTGGCGGGCGCGCCCTCCTCCCGCACTGCCGGCCAGTCCTGCTCCCTGCCAGGCCCCTCCCGCCAGC